GGAAGACTATCTCGTGTTTTCCTACCTAGTGGTCTTCGATAGCAGATGATTACCAACTGATATTTTTCTTTATAGAAAGACCTTCTCCTGATATCCATCACATTATCTTCTGTAGTGAAAAACCTTCTCGTGGTCTATAAAAGACTATCTCGTTGTCTTCTATAGAGACATACGAGTTAGTCTATGGAGGAATACCAGCTAGAGGTCTTCTATGGAAGAAGATCACTTCTTCTATGAAGAAGAACTACTTCTTCTATAGAGGAAAACCGCTGATATTATATAAAAAAAGCATCCTACTCCTCTGCTAGAGAAACATGCATACTGCTCTTCTATAGAAGCGAGAAATCATGGTTTTCTATAATAAAAGACTAAATGTTAAAGAAGGCACAGAAGACAGAAGAACACCTTCCATAAGAGAAGACCAACTCGTCTAAAAGAGGACTATCTCGTAATTTTCTATAAAAGATTAACACCTCTTTGTCTGCTCTTATAAAGAGGAAACGCTTGTTATATTCCCTACATGTAGAACACCTCAGTTTAAACCTACCACTTTATGTACTTCCACACAAAACGACCTCATGGCGTTCTTTACCAGAAGTCCGTGTTGTCTTCCAATCAAGAGGACCTCGTATTTAATATGCAGAGGAAGTAAACCTTATGATTCTCTCGTGATTTTTTTCTGATCTAATCATTTGCAGCTATTTTCAGTGCCAAATTCTTATTTTCTGCTCGTCAAGAAGTTGTTGCAGTTAGTTGCACACATTTACATAAGATTTACCAATACATTCAAAGTGTAGTAAAAAAGAGCCGCAAATTGTTCCGCTGTTTCCTGTTCGAATTTTCATTTCATTGATGACGTTGGGACTAAAACCGATAGTGCAGCGGCAAACTTTTCTTCCTTCTTTTTTACTTCCAACAATCTTTGGTCTGATGTTCTGGTAAAATGCACCTGCATCGGATGCAGCAGCGTGCCTAGCCAGCCAGCTAGAGAGCTAACATACATTCAATATTTAAACCAAGAAATTTGTTTGCTTCATGACTGCACTTTTTGTTGTTGTTCTTCTTGTGCATTTCGTTCTTCCTTTCGTAAAGAAGAAAATTGATGTTTGGGCTTTGAAATGAGAACTCCCCCAACCCCAAACCAAAAAAAAAAAAAAAAACGAAAAGAAGAGAAGAGAAGAGAAAAGAAGTTGAAAAGAAAATCCTATTTGTTTTCCGATTTTATGATGGTGTTTATGATTGAAAGCATTTTTAGAACTTTTTATGATTTTCTAATGCCTGCACATGTATTGGAAAAAAACTTATACATTAACACCTTGCAACAGCGATGTACATAAAGGGAGGTGAGGTATGGTGAGAGAGAGTGGGATGAGTTGAACTCCCATTCAACAGCCTTTAAATCATGCGGAAAAAAGATTGTCTGTCGGTCATTCATTGATGATGATGATGATTTGGGCTGTTGGCTGCAGCAGCAGATGATGCTGCATCATTATCGGATTTAAACACCGGCAGTCTTTACTTTCGTCAAGATCAAAGACATCGCGATGCAACAACTTTAACAACAACAACACCAGACGGCAATTCGACAACAAATAACATTAGAAGTGCTGAGAAGATTTGTACAATAATTTAATACCCCGCTTACTGCTGCTCACACCTTTGTCTTAATGGGTGTGGGTGTGTGTGCGAGCGAGTGTTTGTGTGTGTTCCTTGCTTTTTGCCTTTGTTTCTTCATCCGACGATCACCGTCCGTCGTCCGATGCGGTAATTGTCTATGCAAGCAATGATGAGTTATCTTCAGTTGTCTTCTGCATTTGTTATGGATATCCGACTGTATGGTTGGATGAACTCCCGCTCCAAGAGGAGGTGGTAGGGCTTGTTCTTAATTGCATTGCTACAGGTAGGGTTTACACTGTGGATGTTATTTAAAAGGGACGGGTGGTTGAGGTTCATCTAAAGAAAATTAATAACGTATTGTATTGGATCTGAAGATTTTCTAAAATGAAGTGCCCCAAGGCTTTCTATATTGAAGAGCGTAAAAATTAGTTTTAAAATTATCCACCGAATATTTTGGTAGGTCTTCCACCGAATTTTTTGGTATACAAAAGGATCAAACGATTTCCTATACAGGAAGAAGATTATCAAAAAATGTTATGTACTGAAGATCACATGCTCTTTATCAAATGAAAAAGCAGATCTACTTCCCATAACAAGTCATCTTACTCCATATGAAGATAGCCCACCGAACTCCTAAATGAAAATTTATTACCGTTGTCGTTCCTAGCATAGTTTTTTTATTTTAATGACCTCTATCAATCGATAGGAGATCTGCTATTACTAAGAAACCTACTGAAATGTCTTTCTCATATGGAATTGGCAGGGATTCCTGATTTCCGCCCTCGTCAGACTTTTTCCATTTTAGATCTACCTTGTGATTTTTTTCCAAAGAAGAGCTTTATTCCTATAGAAAGGGTTTAAAATTTTATTTTTCAAAGGAAACTCACTGCAAGACATCTTGTGGTCTTCTAATTCGTCCTCCTGGTTTTTTTTATAGAAAACGACCTCACGATATTTTGTACAAGAATAACTGGCGACCTTCCATACAAAACTACTTTGTGGTTTCCCTAAAAAACGACATTGGTAAATTTTTATAGAAATTTATATCGCAATCTTCTGGAGAAAACGACACCATTTTCCGTTATATAATATGCGGACATCCGAAAAACGAGCTCGAATTTGTAAAAAGAGTGAAACTCACTCGAGCGGAAGCGTTCCTGGGAGCAAAAAAATCAAGTGAACTCATTTGTCGATGTCACTCGTATGGAAGTGAGCATGTTTTCCTTGTTTTTGAATGGGACCAAAATTCGTTAGAAATCGAGCAAATTCCACCCTTGCTACTCATTTACACTGTTAGAGCAAAGTCTTGCTCTATTTTGAACGATTCTTCTCTCCCACTCTTCTAGTGAATGAAAGTGATAATGAGAGCTCGTGGACTTTGTACAAAACGTTCTGGCCATGGGAGAACCTCATGATATGTAGCGATCTTGTTTAGAAGACAACCTCGTGGAAGAATGCATTGTCTTCTATACAAAACGAACTCATAGACTTTGCAATACGATCTAGTGACCTCTTAGAATTCAACCTTGTACTCTTTTAAATGAAACGAACCATTTTACTTTTATTCTACATGACTTCGTGACCTTCCATAAAAGACGACATTGTGATCTTTTATATAAAATGTCCTTGTGGTATTCTATAAAAAATTACCATCATAAAGCTTATTATTCCACAGAAAAATTTGATTAATTAGTTGACTTTTATAAGCTGTCTAAACAAAAGACCTTTTGAACATGGAACTCCAAAGAAAATCTTTCTCGCAACAAAAATCCGGACTCAAGTCTTTCTTTCCAGGAAGTCCTACCGAAAGGCTTTATTTTCATAGAATATGTTTCTAAAAACCGTCATTCCGTAGAAGTCCTCAAGAATACCAATTTCTACATTGAATAATTTTTGCAAGGATGTGTACAAACCAGAGCTCTAAAATGCTCGAATGAGTTTTACTATGAGTTTCTACTCGAGCTGGAGTACTCTTGGCGATAAAAAGACTAATCTATGTCTTTTTACTATTCTATTTTATTCCATTCGAATAAGAGCGAGAAGACTTGTTCGTTTTTAAGTGGGAGTAAAATTCTCTCGAAATCGAGCATTTTCCTCTTTTGCTTGATACTATCTGTGATTGTTTTTGAACATGAAATACACCGACCCTAGTACCAGATGTAGTAGTTTCCTTAATATATTTTTGTGGGAATTACTCTAATTTCCGAACGGAATGAAGTAGGTTGATAAAAATTTTTTCAGACGTGTGTTAGGTCTGAAGGGCTTTTGATATGGAAAATGGGTTATTTAGGTCTACGATTTGGTATAGCCCCTATGTTATTGTACCGACAATTTTAAGTTCTTTGGGATTTTTTTTCACAATTTGCGTAAATTAGCTGCGTGAGAACTATCCTTGCATAGAATTGTCAATATAAGTCAAAGTTTTGGTAGATATAACTATTCGGTAATTCTTTGATCTTAGCAGTATTTTTCAAATGCTTTTTTTTTTGAAAAATTAGGAAATTTCTTCCAAATGATGACGGGCATTCAAAGTTCGGCCCGGCCGAATTTACTGATTTTCACTTGTTTTTCAAACAGGAGTAGTCGCTAGATCTGCCGAATAAAAAACAAGAGAGTGGAAAGTAAATTTCTTGTAAAACTTATACTTTTCGAGCACACCCGCACGGGATTTCTTTCACGATTTTCAAAAATTGAGCAAATATGTGCTCTAGGTCTGAGATTTTAAAATATCAAATTTGAGTCCCTTTAAATGTCTTAAATCGGTCATTGTCGCTGATTGGGCTTGCCTCAAAAAATTAGTCAAAATTGCCAAATTACATCCAATTCTCGTTAAAATTGGAGCTGAGCTTAAAATACCGAATATTGGGATGTATCGCTATATGAAGGCTATACCGGATCTACCCTGAACATAAGAACCGGGAATGCCAAATTACAACTTATTTGATTGGGGAATGCTCCAAAAACCGCTCATTGGGTATTTGGTTGGAAATTTTTGCTGAAAGATAAAAAACACCATAAATAAAAAAGGAGAGCTGGACCCGGGCTCCTTCCGAAAAACGTTTTTCCTATACATTATACAAGGGCAATTTAATTTTTTTGTTACTTGCTCCCTCCGAAAAGATTTCAAAATGCCTTAGTCGTCTGTAGTTATAACATCTCATTATGGCCCATATAGTCCATGTTCAATACCAGTCATCAAAAATATAATATTTAAAAACTCGTTTTTGTGAACTCTAAACAGTTACGGCTATATTGCAAACGGGATGATAAATTTCATATAACGCCCATTTTATGGAGGAAAGTACAAAAAAATTTGAAAACTGCTCTTATTCGAATTTATCGCACTGTTACTATCTAATATTCGTTTTGTTTGATATTTTCAGGTTCCCCAGCCTAGCCGAAAATAGGAAAACAACAATGCATCATCGCATTACTGCAACTGGACTTTTTTTATGGAACACCAAGAAAGGTACGTTACGTTTATATGGCAGTTTACACCTTTAATTGCTATGACTTAAGATATTTGTTTTTGTTTTTCCTGTTTTGTTTATTTTCGACATTTTTGGGGGATTTTGTTTTTTTTTTTCTCCAAGAATACGGAGAAGATGTTAAGTAGAGATTACCACTAGGCGTTTGATATGCTTTAAAAATCACATTTGATAATGTTCCAAATGCCTTTATATGACCAAAACAGTCTATGTATCAGTGGGTATTTCAACGACCATAACCATGTTAGGTAGGAGGGTTATCAGTTCATATAGGTATGCGTATCTATCGATTGGTGGGAAAATTCTCATCTAGCTCTGAAATCTATAAAATCTTGCCGAGATATTTTTCCACTTTCGAATGTTTCAAAAATTATGTTTCACACAAACTGCTGCTGATGTGTCACATAATTTATGTGGTTAACCTTCGTATCCTTCGCCTAATGATCTCTTGTTATCCTGGACATTGTTTGTTATTTCTTTTGGTAAGTGTATTTACCTAAAGAAATTCCTTAGAGCTGCTTTGCATTTTGAGCAATAATTCTTTCCGTTTTCGAGTCCCTTTTCCACATCCGTAACTTTGTTGAAAAGGACGCACGGTATGAACGGACGGACATCCTTTCGAATTCGTCTGTTGTTGTAAATCAATATTTATTTGTTGCCCTGTGTGTGTGTGCGTTTGTGTTTTTCTCTCTCTCTCTCTCTCTCTCTCTCTCTCACTGTCTCTCATAAAACGAAAATCGTTGGGTTCGATTACAATTTAACAACCAATATCATTAATGTTCTCCTTTTCAATATTAACATCATCATCGCCATCGACATTTTAGACATTGCCAAGTACCCTCAAGTCGTCCTGAACACATTGTATTTGTATAAGAAGTAACAACAACATCAGCAGCAGCAAACAAATAAACAAAAAGCAGCAATAGCAAAAGACAAAGGACAATACAGGAACTGATTTCATTCAAAAGCTGATTAAGGGATGTAATGAAAATTTAATAATTGCCTGGCCTGGCCCGTCGTGGCGTGGCGTGGCCCTTGCGAATGTTCCTTAAGGGGAGTTGTACGCAAACAAATCTATCGATAAACACACACATATACACACTCTCGCTTCAAAATAATGTGAGTGAACTTTTGTAGTGCAGGCTAGTGTTGCCAGCATAATGAGAAATGTTTCGATATGATATCTTTTTGTGGAGAAAACGCTTAAAATATTATAGAAAGGAACTTTTAAAGTGATCTATCCTTGAATCTTATATAGAAAAAGAACTTTCAGGGACGTTTCTCCTCTATGTGAGAAACATATTTGTCTTCTAGGAAGTCAAAATTTTCTTTTTTCTATGTTAAAAGGTCATCTCAGAATGAAATTCTTTCAGACCATATTTGGTGAGAAATCTCAATTGTTTCTTAATAGAAACAGGGCCTTTGAAAGATATTTAATGGAAACAAGGTGTTTTTATCCAAATCGCTGCGACGCCACCATTAGGTAACATTTTCGGTCATATGTATTTTCTTGAAGGAATAAGGCCAAAATTTAAATTAAAAATGAAAAGCAAATGTCTTCCCAACGACTGAGTTTAATCACTTCTGTGACAAAGAGGGCATTCTGCAGCTTTTTACATAAAAGTAACACCTCCAAAGAAAAGAAACGTATCCTCTATGGAGAGTTTACACCTTATTGAATTAAAATATTCCTTTTCTAGAAACAAAACATTTCAGTTCTCTTCTCTTGAAACAAGTTCTTTTTAAGGACTTCAATTATTAGAGGTCTTCTGTTTGAGGACCATTTATTTTTGAGGCCTTCAGCACAAGCGAGATAATGCTTATTCTTATGAAGAAAATAGTGAAGACATAAAATTTAAAAGACTCGTAACCAAAATTCCGATATCATGTGAGTAGAAAAAAATCGAGCATTCTCTATTTTTCAATGCTGCTCGAATAAGAGGGAGCATACTTTGCTCATCTTAAAGTGGGAACAAAATTCGCTCGAAATCGAGCGCATGCTGCTCTTGCCGAGTACTCTTTTCACTTGTCATTTTGTTGTTGTATTTGTATGTTTATGTTTTTTTTCATCCCACAAACGCGTTGCAGACCATTAACCTCAATTAGTACCAACAAATCACATAATAGTGTTGTTGTTTTCGCACACAAATTTCACCTGTTCTTTGCTTCGGTGGTTTGTACATGATCACCTCTCCCGCCCCCACGTCGGCAGCAACCTTAAAACATATTTTTGTTTCACACTCACATATTATATTTTTACCGCTTTCTAGGGAACTCGAGAACGCTCTGAAGAAAAAAATGCTAAATTAAATTCATACTCTTCGAGCATTACCGCTAGCGAGCTAGTTTTATTTCCGAAAAAAAAAACAGATCTTTATTTGTCTTCTGTGGACATACCTTTTGGTCTTCAATAAACAGAGTTAACGTTATTTTATGAGAAAACCAATTGGTCTCCTATGAGCAGAGCTACTGTTTCTTTTTATAAATAAGCGTCATTAATCTCATTAGTTGTCTACGTAAAAGCCTTTTTGTGAGAAATCTTATTGATTCCTCTATGAGAAGATCTTTTGGTTTTCTATTGGATGATATAAGAAGGCCTAAATCTAAAGGTCTTCTATGAGAAAATATATGGTACTTCCAGATCTACTGGAATAGATCTTCTGTAAGAAGACCTATTGGCTTTTTTTTGGGAAATTATACTGAATCTACTGAACTATGAGCAGATACATTTTGTATGAAAACATCATCTTTAAACATAGACATTTTTGGTTGTCCTCGAAAGAACCTTTTACCTTTAATGAATCAAGATGACGTACTGGTCTTATATAAGAAGACCTATTAGCCTTCAATAAGAAGTTCTCTTGGTCATCTTAGAGTAGAACTTTTTGATTAGAATAGGTTTTTTAGTTATGGGTGCTACAATTTGGTTTTGGACCATAATACTCTTTTACATCCACATAAGAAAATGTACCGATTTTTAGAGCAGCATATACACAATGAGTGCTGTAGCCGATTCAAGAGGCAATTGGTGAATTTTTGAATTTTTTACCGATTTTTAGAGCAGCATATACACAATGAGTGCTGTAGCCGATTCAAGAGGCAATTGGTGAATTTTTGAATTTTTTTCTTTAGCCAACTACTATGTTTGAGATAATTCTGTTGAAAAATGTAGCTAAATGCGTCAAAATACCATATGTAGGGAGGTTCCGTTTATGGGGACCATAGAAAAACGTGAATCTATATGCCTCATTTTCAATATGAACCATCCTAGACTCAATATAAAATATTGTGCCAAATTTCAATGTTCTAAGTTAAATAATGGGACTGTATTGTGATTTTAACAGGCGGACAGACAGACAGGTGGTCATCGTTCAATCGACTTAGAATTTTACGCTGATCATGAATATTTATACTTTATAGAGTCTACGACGAATATTTAGAAGTGTTACAAAAGGAATGACCCATTGAATATATCCTTCTTTCCGTGGTGATGGGTATACAAACATACTATTTTCTAACGGCTATATCTTGAAAACCTATTGGAACTTTTTTAAGAAACCCAGTGAGAAATATAGAATATTTTCTCTTTTACTGGCATATCATATATCCTCAAAACTATTTTGTATTCAAAATAATTTCTTTTTCATGATTTTCTACATGCATTTAAAAATACACGTCTCTAATACCTCATCTGCCCGAAAAAAGGTCTAAAATGGCAACCCTGGCGAAAGGGGTTGGTTTCGATTTCAATTTAAATACCAAAGGCTAACAATATTAGTTTTAATTAGAAAGTAAAGAGAACAGAGGGATAACAGTAGCAGCAACAACAACAACTGCAACAAGAGTTGAAACATACCAAACATACCAACCAAACAATATAATCATCAAACGGTTTGACAGACAGACATATGTACAAGTCAAATTATTATGTTACAACTAATCGCCCAGCCATCAATGCCACCATCATCATCCTCGCCCAGGTTTTCACAATGGGCTCTAAGCATATTAGCCATTATTCGCATTTAAGCCTGTTAAAGATTTAAATGATAAATTGTCGTTAAGAAAAGGCGACAATTGAAATAATTTAAGGAAAAGCCTTTCTAATTTCTCCCAGAAAAGTACGAATATTCCGGGCCGAATTTTGAATACCCTCCACCATTTAGAACGAATTAGGAAATTTTCAAAAAAAAAAAAAAAAAATAAATAAATAAAATAAAATCCACTAAAAATTCTGTTAAAATCTTAAAAATACTGAGTATCGGAAGGTGATGTATAGGGAATATAAGATATTGTGGACCTATATAGACAATTCTATTTCAGGGGGTAAAGTACTCACAAAGAACTCCTTGTGTGTAATTTCAGACAATTCCATTGAAAAATGCGATTAAAATCATCAAAATCTCGAATATGGGGGGATACCGTCATATGGGTGCTATACGATATCGTGGATCTATATATATAATTCTCCTCTAGGCGGTAAAGTACTCACAAAGAACTCCTTGCGTGGAATTTCAGACAATTGCATTGAAAAAATTGACTAAAATTCTCAAGATACCGAATATCGGGGGGTACCGACTAATAGGGACTATACGATATCGTTGACCGATATAACCCATCTTCGAACTTGACCTTCCTGCAGACAAAAGACAGATCTGTGCAAAATGTTAGCTTCATATCTTTATTCGTTTTAACTTTAGCGTAATTACAATAGACGGACGGAGGGACAGAGCTAAATCGTCTGAGGATTTTACGCTGATCAAGAATATACTTTGTTGAGTCTAAGATGATTATTTCGATGAGTTACAAACGGAGTGACGAACTTAATATACCCTCCATATTCAGTTAAGAAAAGTATGATATAAGAAAGAGGTCGCAAATATTAAATGTCTTCTAAATTCTTCTAAATATTCCGTATTTTAATATTTCACATTTTTTGATAACTTTTTGTAAAAAAAAATTATTTTCCGTCATATTCACGACC